ACAATGTACACTTTTGATTAGCAAGTGTAAACTAAATCATACCATATAAGGAGTGGCCATAATAGGATTATTACTATCTACTATGATAATTAGACAGAATTTTTCTATCCTGGACCGATTTTTCCCTGAGAGAGTTTGCAACTGCCATTATAAATAAAAGACATAAAAAAAGTGGGAGAGTATGTTAAAATAAGTAGGGTCTAAGAGTGTTTATTAGAAAAGTGAACATATTAAATATGAAGTCAAAGCCAAATTCTCCATTACTAGAATCCATTCTGCAATAGAAAAAACAACAACAACAAAAACCCAAAAAAACTCCACTAAATATGTTAGAACTGAAGGAAAACCACACATCAGATCATTCACAGAAACGAAACCCACAGTATGTCTTCTTTGATTATTATGAGAACAATTTAATGCAAACAAATAATAAGGCTGGCAAATGGGACTGATGATATTAAAAAACTCAAAAGAAATAGTATTATATGGATAGCAATATCTCTGAAAACATAAATATCACTTATATTTGGGTATTTTTTAAATGGTAGCTCGGCATAAACTATTTTAAAAAAATGATTATTTTTATTGCTTTCCCTTTCTGTATTTCCCTTTCTCCTTAGTTTGATTTCCTTTTTTTTTCTATCTAAATTTTTTTGTTTCTTCTAATATGTCACTTTTTGAGTTATTGTTGGTTAAACTTTGTTCCTAATTATAGAAATACAACTAGGTTTTGCAATGATATATCTTGAATCACAAGTACACGAAACAAATATCTTAGTTACTCTCTGGTTACCAACTTATTTTCCTCAAGGGAAGGTACTGAGAGGATATTAACTTCCTCATCTGACATACCTTGCTTGCACAATAGGTCATTGAGCATCCTCTTCTGTTTAATATCTTTGCTCTTGAATTCACTGAGGCGCAGGGACTTTGTGTTTAATATTAAAACATGGGTCGGGGGTGACTGAGTGGCTCAGTCAGTTAGGTGTCAGTCCTTTGATTTTAGCTCAGGGTCAGGATCTCAGGGTCATGAGATGAGCCCCACCTAGGGTCTGCAATGAGCATGAAGACTGCTTAAGATTCTCTCTCCTTCTCTTCTGCACTCCCCTAGACCTGCCCTTGCTGTTGTGGGTGTGCTCTCTTTCCTCAAATCATCAATCAATCAATCAATCAATCATGATCAGGTATGACAGGATACTACTATTAATTATAACTCAATTATTTTAACAACTTTATTGAGGTATAATTGACACATAATAAAATGAACATTAAAAACTCAGATCTGAGTTTTGCTTTTTTCTTTTCACTTTATGATTGTGCTTTGAGCATTTGGAGAGAAACACTTCTCTCAAGGTAGAACATAAACAAATCTGTAAAAAATGTTTTTGATGATTCCCTTGGTGGATATGGCAACACTCTCTGTTGCCAATGCAGCCTAGTTAAGAACTCTGATTTTTTTCAGATTATCAGGTGGCAATGTACACAGAGAAGGTGAGATCCCTTCTGAGCCCCAAACCATAAATTAATATTTTCCCAATCTCATTCATCTTTGTTTTTGTGTAGGGAGATGATTCAGTTCTGGTCAATGAGATATGAGTCAAAGTCTACAGGGCACTTCTGAGAAAATGTTTTTCTCCTTGTCAGTTATTTTAGGACTACAAGGGACCAAGCCAAACTACTGAGGACGCAGAGTGGAAAGATGAAAGAATCTAGGTCTTTAATGATCTTGTTGAGTTGCAAATTGACGGACTCTGTTTCAGGTCTTCCTCTGAATTTCTTATGATGTGATGTTATAAATAGCCTTATCAAAGCCACTATATTATATTGCATAACCCTAGGAAGAACCATTCTCATTGTACAACATGGCAGTCCTGGAACTTACTGTTTAAGCCACTTTTAGATAGATATTCTATAGTTGCAGCCAAAAGCATCCTACTTCATAAAGTGGGGCAGATGGTGTTCCAATATTAAGAAACTTTCTCTCTGTGTACCAGTTTATACCTTGCAAGACTATTACTGGAAAGTTTTAAATTAAGTAACAGAAGCCACATCTCAGATCTAAACAATAAAAGAAATGCATTGGCTCATGTAAATGAGAAGTCCAGAGGTAAGGCATGCTTTAAGGGATTTGATTTAGGATTTCTTGAGGTCATCAGTGATCTGGCTTTTTTCTGCCCTGATGTTCTCAGCTCTATTCTCCCCATGTTCTGGCTTCTTCTTCAAGCTGTCTTTCTTCATGGTACAAAACTTTACAGTTATTTCAGATCTCATTCCACCCCTCAAACTCTGATTGAGCCATTGGTTAGCTTAAGTCACATGCTCTATTTTAGGAGCTGAGGATGCAATCAAATTTCTAAGAACTCCCTAAATCAAAATTGGAGGTTAGAAAGGAAAAATGAAAGGCTGGGACCCAAGCATAAAGTGTCCACTCCATGGACTTGGAATTATAATGCCAAGGGTCTTTTTCAAAATGTGTTTGAAATTTACTGATATTCTCAAAAGAGTATGAGGTAGAGATTACCAATGACCTTAGGCCCATGGGTTACCAATAAAGCACAAGATTTGGTGAACTAAGAATAGATCTGACTGTCTGTGAACCTCTGTTAAGCCCTAGTTTGAACATTTGTGAGATGAGACTTCCGTTTATTTCTAGAACTAGATGTCAAGGCAATCAATAGTGATTTAAAGCAGCTGCTTCAGGAGAAATGTCAAACTCTTTGCTCTTTAAAAATGTTAATGGAAAATTTAAAAATCTGTGAACTCTTTTCAACACCTTCACTTTTCTGAAATCCAAAATTACTAGTGTTAAAAAACAAAATTCAACTAAGTGAATTTAAAGATCAAACTGGCTTTACTCAACAATTCATGAGTTGGGCAGCATCCCATCTATCAAATAGAAATGAACTCCAAAGAATTACAAAATGGGAGACTTTTTATAGACAGAAAGGTAGGAACAGGGAAAGAGTGGATTATCTTCCTTGGATGGGAGTGAGGAGAATGGGCCTATCAGATGGATTACCATATTAAGGCTGATCTGGAAATTCCAGATTTACTGGTTTAAGATTACATTCCTGGGAGAGGTTGAAATTAGGTGTTCAGTCTTGGTTTGCTGATTTGGGTTTAGCACAAGTAACTCCATTTTGGACCTCTTGTCTCTGTCTCTCTTTACACTAACATATAAAAAAAATAATGCAATGTGATTCAGTCAAATCCACAGACACTGACACAGCTGCCATTTTCACCAGAAAATTAAGCAAAATTGGCAGGATATACAACCAGCTATTTGCAGAGGCACTTGAAATCCACAGCCTATGTTTGCATGGATTCTTGGCACAGGATGCTCAGTGGCAAACCATGGTCATCTGAGAGCCTGGATTAGGTACTCATCACCCTGTAAACATTAAATCTATTTCACACCTGCTTTGGAAACCTAGAAATACTGCCAACTTATTTTCCCAGATGGATTTTGCAAAAATTCCAGCATATTGTACAAAATTATAGATCAAAGTAAATCCAGTTCTCAAATTTATTGGACATTTGGAATCAGTAAAAAATATGATATCTGTTTCAGAAAGGAACCTGATGCCCTCAGAGGTCCTTATCATTTTGACCAGATCAGGACAAACTAGGAACAGAGAAGCTGTGGTTCCAAGATTGGCTGGCCCAAGATCCTTCCTTTAGAAACATTCCCAGTTAGGTGACATGATCCATACCCAAAGCTGTAAGGAATGTGCTACTTTCTCTCTGAAAACCATTCTACAAGCTAATTGCTTTTATTATGGAGATGTATTCCCTGACTGTACTGGAAGGGTGATTTTGAAAATTCAATGTGGTGCAATGTGTATATAAATAAGCTGCTTAGGAGAGAGAGGAAAGCGGTAGCCAATGATAATTCTTTCCTAATGCTCTGAGATTATCTGCAGTTTAAGCAATTAACCTTTTATTTTTTTTTCTTCAATTTTTAGAAAAGACAGTTTGGGCACTTTAAATAACCACAGCAGTGCTATGTTCACACTGTAAGTAGAAAGTACAAGTGATGGAAACATCGATATTTCCCTGACCATAAACTTCAACTTTCCTCTTTCACATACTAAAAGAGCTGTATAGGGTAATGGTTAAGAGCTCCAGTCTAGGGGTGCCTGGGTGGATGGCCCAGTTAGTTAAGTGTCCATGTTTGGCTCAGGTCATGATCCCAGGGTCCTGGGATTGAGCCCCATATCAGGCTCACTGCTCGGTAGGGAGCCTGTTTCTGCCTCTCCCTCTGCCTGCTGCTCCTCCTGCTTGTGCTCTCTCTCTGTCAAATAAATAAATAAAATCTTAAAAATAATTTAAAAAAACGCTTCCATATAGACCAGATTGCCTGAATTCTGGCTCTGCCATTTGTTATCTGGGTAATCTTGGATAGGTTTCAAACTCTGTGTGCCTAGGCTTCTTTCTCTATGAAATGGAGATAATAATTGCCTGTGCCCTTGTTAAAAGTTTTAACTAATTAACACATATAGAGCATTTAAAGTAGTAAGCACTATTTAAACATTAGCTGTAATTATTTGATACATTTAACTTTCAGATACATTGACCAAAGGAAGCTTTATTAGAATCCCAAGATAACTAAATCATTGTGTACTTTGATACTATATTTTTGCAGACATTTGCTTTGAAAAGTCATTTAATATCTCAATAAAAGACATATGGCTCTATTAGTTCAGTGTAGTTTAGTATACCATATTAGGATTCTATACAAACACTCCAAACATATATTATTTGAAGGTTCTATAATTTATTTAACAAATATTTGTGGAGCACCCACTGTGTGTAAGGCATTGCCGCAGCACGGAGCTGATGGTACATGTGTGCACGAGGGCATGCATGCAAAATCCTGGCTTATCTGGAGCTTTTATCCTTTTAGGAGGACACAGACACATTTCCTTTTCCTGCTTTCTGCCATCATCTTCCAGGCTAAGCTCGAGCCAGTGGCCTTCTGGCCTAGCACAGCTTTCACCATGGCCCTCAGCAATGCCAACATGCAGAAGCAGATTAAGCATATGATGGCTTTCATTGAACAAGAAGCCAGAGAGAAAGCAGAGGAAATAGATGCAAAGTCAGAGGAAGAGTTCAACATTGAGAAAGGTCGTCTTGTGCAAACCCAAAGACTGAAGATTATGGAATACTGTGAGAAGAAAGAAAAGCAGATTGAGCAGCAGAAGAAAATTCAGATGTCTAATCTGATGAATCAAGCAAGGCTCAAAGTCCTCAGAGCAAGAGATGACCTTATTACAGACCTACTAAATGAAGCAAAACAGAGACTCAGCAAAGTGGTAAAAGATACAACCAGGTACCAAGTGCTGCTGGATGAACTGGTCCTCCAGGGTTTGTACCAAATGTTGGAGCCTCGAATGATTGTTCGTTGCAGGAAACAGGATTTCCCTCTGGTAAAGGCTGCAGTGCAAAAAGCAATTCCTATGTATAAAATTGCTACCAAAAAAGATCTTGATGTCCAAATTGATCAGGAATCCTACCTGCCTGAGGAAATAGCTGGTGGAGTGCAGATCTATAATGGGGATCGTAAAAAAAAAAGGTTTCCAATACTCTATAAAGCCGGCTGGACCTCATAGCCCAGCAGATGATGCCAGAAGTACGGGGAGCCTTATTTGGTGCAAATGCCAACAGGAAGTTTTTGGACTAAACCTTTGGGAGAGGTAGAGTTCATCCACTGCTCTTGCTGTGGCGTGGAAGTTTCTGATATTTGAAGAAACGAGATATCTGTGTGGCTTCCTCTTCCCTGTTCTCATAGTCTGTATTTGTCAGAGGATACTCTGTATAGCTAATGCCCTTATCCTAATTGTTAACACTAGAGAGAAAGTTTCACTTCATATAATCAGGAAAGCTCCTTCTTAGCTTATCTAAAAGTAGCACAACTTCCGTCAGGTTCTGTAGTGTGAAGGTGAAGGTATCAGATGGTGGTCACAGGAGCTTCACCAAGTCTCTGCTCTTCCTCCAGTCCTCTACTTCCAGTTCTTGAGCCTAGAGGTGATGTGTATGGTGTTCTCTGATATGAAGTCTTTGCTCTTAGGCTTAAAGTGCATGGGGGCCGTGCATTCCTCCCAGCAGTAGTTGCTTCACTGCTAACCTGTTTAGGCATAGAAGTGTTCCTCTTCTGTAAATGTGATTTAAAACCTAAGCCATGAATATGTCTTATTTATTAAAACAAACGATTTATATGGAAAAAAAAAAGGAGGCCACAGACAATAAATAAGCAAGAAGGTGACTTGTGAGTTCTATGAAAAAACATAAAGCAAAGTCAGGATAGAGAATGATGGAGAGTAGGCTTTTACAGGGAAGGCCTCTCTGAGAAGGTGACACTTAAGAAATCAGCTGAAGGGGTGCCTGGGTGGCTCAGTGGTTTGGTGCCTGCCTTTGGCCCAGGGCGTGATCCTGGGTCCCGGGATCGAGTCCCACATCAGGCTCCCTGCATGGAGCTTGCTTCTCCCTCTGCCTATGTCTCTGCTTCTCTCTGGGTCTCTCATGAATAAATAAATAAAATCTTAAAAAAAAAAAAAAAAGAAATCAGCTGAAGAAGTGAGGACATGAGCCCTGTGAATATTTGAGAAAAAGGTTGTCTGGGAAGAGGGTCCGGCAAGTGCAAAGGCCCTGAAGTGGAAGAGGGGTTGGTGTATTTAAGCAATGGCCATGTGGAATTGAAACCCAAGAGGTCTGTCTCTACACTGTCTTATATATGCACATGTTGTCTCCTGCATTCTCCCTCATAAACTGTCTATTTCAGACAGGAAGATTATGTGACAAAAAGAAAAAGATCACCACAGTGAAATATAAGTAATATGGATTCATGTTTGTTAGGTTGACTTACATACAGATTCCAACGAACCAGTGTAGACAATAAATTTGACTTTCTCTTTTCAAAAACAGCTCACACCAGGAAACAGAAAATATTCCATTAAAAGCAGCAACTAGAACATTCTGGAATGCCTCTTAGCCTAGAAAGACCCTTAGCCTAGGGTTTTTGTGTAAAATTTTGCACGCCCCGGTCTTTTTCTGGGGTGAGTGCAAGGTCCCTGAAGGGTTTCTGAACCCAATAAAAGTTGAGAGTCACCACTTCAGCAAATAGTATCTTAGAACCTAGAAATATTCTTGGTTTTGTTAAAAAAAAACAAAACCAAACCAAATGAGGGATGCCTGGGTGGCTCAGTGGTTGAGCATCTGCCTTTGGCTTAGGTCATGATCCTGATGTCCTGGGATCAAGTCCTGCAGGGAGCCTGCTTCTCCCTCTACCTATGTCTCTTCCTCTCTGTGTCTCTCATGAATAAATAAATAAAATCTTAAAAAATATATATCGAATGAGCAAAAATGTATCATAAAAATAAATATATTTTTGATTGTCTTATGTTGTTGAGAAAGGGGAGTATAAGGAAGCCCATTGTTTTTTTTTTTTCTTAAAGGTTTTGTAGCTATGGCATCATTTAGAAAATAATTACTAATTTGTTTAATTAAGGCTGAGAAGTTAATTCTGAAGTTAAGTCTGAAGAGCTTATTTTGAGGGCAAATTTTAAAGAGTAGCAGCCAACTTCATAGAAAAGCAACCTCTTGGCTAGAGGAATATTCTGAAGAACATTCACAACTACGTATTACAAGTATTCTATTTCTGAGGCAGTGCCAAAAATTCTGGGTAAGGAGAATCTAAATCAGTTGTTATAAACTAAGAAAGTGTGTTATTCTGGGTCCTCTGAGAATCAGCCACCAAAATGGGAGTAGATGTGAAAGGATTTTATTAAGGGAAACATCTGAGTGAGAGAACATGGGGAAGAAGGCAGATAAGCTGGGAGTGCCATCAAATTATGATGCAAGTCTGATTCCAAATGAAAGAGATTGAGAGGACCCTGGATGGCTTAGCAGTTGAGCATCTGCCTTCAACCCAGGGCGTGATCCCAGGGTCCTAGAATCGGGTCCTACATGAGGCTCCCCGCATGGAGCCTGCTTCTCCCTCTGCCTGTGTCTCTGCTTTTCTCTCTCTGTGTCTGTCAAGAATAAATACATTTTAGAAATCTTAAAAAAAAAAAAGAGAGATTGAGTAGGAAGGTTAGGTGGAAGTGTCCTAGGTCTCCTGTGGCCTGAGTAAGTTCAGCAAGGCTGTCAGGGAGTCCTAGAACCAAAGTCACGTGCTAAAGAAGCCCCAGGTCTCCCAGGACTGGGTTTGTCTTGGTCCTTACTGTCTCTGTAGCACATGGTCGCTGGCTGGGAATAGTTTGTTGGAAGCCTGGCCTCAGCCCAAACTCAGCAATGGGTTTCAGTGCAGAGTCACCAATTACTCTACAGTTGATGTTGGAGGCGTGCATTCTCATGGCCCCAGAGAGGGAGGGTATCTGCATCACCTGAGGAGCTGTCTCTGCAGCTTCCACCATCTCCAACCTTGGCCCTTCCACCCCAACTCAAGATGTCATTAGCAGCTACAGGGGCCTGCTGCCTAGATGGAAACACTGGCCAGGCCACCAGAGACGGGTGGGATGTGTCATGTCCCCGAGACCATGGGAGATAGAAAACTACTTTCCGTTTGATGTTTATTTTAGGAATGAATTATTGGAAATTATCTTTTATAAATGGCTTCCTACGAAGTTACCAAGTAGCTATATGTTGCTATGTCTGCATTCCTGATTTGTTCTAAAAAGTCAAAGGACAAAGTTGTTTAGTAAACAGTTTCCATGGTCATATGGATAGAGCCCAGTTCCTGTGGTCTCAAGAACACTACAACAAACAAAAGACAAGTTGAAATACCTGCTGGTGAAGGGTAGCTCAATAAAGATTGTGCTGTGGTTAGCTACATCACAGGAGCGATACATCTGACCCTCACACACTTCAGGCATGCTCCCTCCGCACATTCTGCTCTTCCTCCTGGCTGACTTCTCTTCTCAGGCTGCGTCCTACCTACTACAGCATATAAGAATCTCTTTCTATATGGGATCTGAACTAGAGTATATAGCATTTGCTTACAAACAGGCCTCTCCCAGGGCACCTGGGTGGCTCAGTCAGTTAAGTGTCTGCCTTTGGCTCAGGACATGATCTCAGGGTCCTGGGATGGAGCCCCGCATCAATCTCCCTGCTTGACAGTGAGCCTGCCTCTCCCTCTGCCATTCTCCCTGCTTGTGCTCTCTGGTTTGTGCTCTCTGGCATGTGATCTTCCTCTCTCTCTCTCTGTCAAATAAATACATAAATAAAATCTTAAATAAACAAATAAATAAATAGGTAAATAGCCTCTCTCTCTCTGAACATGAATACTCCAGTCCTAAAAATCAGGTGCTATATGCAACAGATACTAACCAGGTCCTATTTGTCACTATTTTATTTTATTATTTATTTTATTTTATTATTTATTTTATTATTATTATTTTTATTTTTCATTACTTTAAATGGAAAAAGTGTAATGGGTGTTGGTCAGTGTTAAGCATATCTTAAAATGCAACATAACACAATGAACTATCTAAAACTAATACATAAAATGTTCATGTTAGGATGTAATTTGCTCAAACTATCACTTTCTGATCACCACAAATATTAGTGCAATTAACAATGATCGCTCTATATGCAGTAACGTGCACAGTTTACATATCCTGTGTAGATATGATGGTTAATTTCATATGTCAACTTGATTGGCTTAAGGGATGCCCAGATAGCAGGTAAAACATTTTGGGGGTGTGTCTGTGAGGATGTTTCTGGAAGAAATTCCCATTTGATTCAGTAGACTGAGGAAAGAGATTGCCCTCACCAATGTGGGTGAGCATTATCCAATCTGTTGAGGGCCAGAAGAGAACAAAAAGGTAAAGAAAGGATGAACCCTTTTCTTGAGCTGGAAGATCCACTTTTTACTGTCCTTGACATCGAAGCTCCTGGTTCTCAAGCTTTTGGCCTCAGACAGAATTACACTAGCAGCTTTCCTGGGTCTCTTGGCTCTTCAGCTCATGGATGGCAGGTTGTGGGGCTTCATGGCCTCCACCGCTGGGTTAGTCAATTACTGCAAGAAATCTCCTCCTTTATATCCTCATATATTGGTTCTACTCATTCTGTTTCTTTGGAGAACTCTGACTAAGAGACCAGCAGACACTGTTTGTGACCCTGGCCTTTTCTGCAGCAATTGGATTTCTAGCTGCCAGCACCTGAAATTCTTTGCTTCAGGGTTTTCACAGTCCACTGGATAAGGACTTTGTTACAGAATAGAAATGTTTTCCAATTAATACCCTCTGGGGCAGTTCTCATCCAATGACTGATGGGAAGAGGTGGGTGGATAAAGGCTGCTGCTCCCTTACCCCTCGAGTGGAATAACTCTGAGTTATTCTATTTACACTGTATATTCTGTTTACACCGACTTCTTTACTGGTGTTTCCCAGATTGTTAACCAAATAGGTATTTGCACTCAAATACTTGTTTCAGGCTTCTGTTTTTGAGGGACCTAACCCAAGACTTTTTACCATAGACTTTATGCACTATGGATGACTGTGTTGTTTTAATCTATTTCTTAGCTCCAGCAATATCCCAGATGGATATTCTCTTCATTGACACTCAGCATACTTTTCAAAATATCTATGATTCTGACATTCTGCCAATTTTTTAAAAAATTTATTTATTTACTCATGAGAGACACAGAGAGAGGGAGAGACATAAACAGAGGGAGAAGCAGTCTTCCCGTGGGGAGCCCAACGTGGGACCGGA